AGGTAGTGGCTACCACCTATGCTGTGGTAGTCAATAAAAAAAAATTAGTCGCATAATGGGTAGAGACTAGAATCCAAATTAAATCTATAAATGAAGAAAGAGATCTTTTACAACAGTTTTCCCCCAGTTAAATAAATACACCTCGAATAACTAAACCATTATTGTGAGAAGCAACGCAGAAATAACGAGGAAAATAAGGTTAATACTCTGAAAATGCTAAGAAATCAACATTGGGAAACCACAAGCTCGTTATTTACGACTCTGAGCGGGTTCAACCCTTCTCAAGGATTTGTGGGGAGGATTCCTTGATATTAGCAAAGGGCTCTTGATTTCAGGAATTGGAGCTATCCTTCCCTTGGATCATACCTAGTTATTTGTCACTCTACTGGCGCTGTATGACAAAACGGGTTTAGGGCTTTCCAATTAAATATGCTGCTAATATTACTACTATTATTATCACTAGTATTATGTCTACAACTACTGTTGATGTTACAATTACTGCTACTACTACTACTACTACTACTACTACTACTACTACTACTACTACTACTACTACTACTACTACTACTACTACTACTACTACTGCTACTACTGCTACTACTGCTACTACTGCTACTACTACTACTACTGCTACTACTACTACTACTACTATTACTACTACTACTACTAATAATAATAATAATAATAATAATAAAATAATAAAATAATAATAAATAGGAAGTTTTGACAATATCATCAGAGTTTGTTGAAAATTAAGGCAAACAAAATTCAAGGAAAAATGATGCATTGTAGGTGCTATATGGGGGTAAAAATGTCCCCACCACTAGTACCACTACACCAGTACCACCACTATACCACTACCACCAGTCCCCACCACTAGTACCACTACCACCAGTACACCACTAGACCACACCACCATACCACCACTAGTACCACTACCACCAGTACCACCACTAGTACCACTACCACCAGTACCACCACTAGTACCACTACCACCAGTGCCAACCACTAGTACCACTACCACCAGTACCACCACTAGTACCACTACCACCAGTACCACCCTAGTACCACTACCACCAGTCCCAAACCACTAGTACCACTACCACCAGTGCCACCACTAGTACCACTACCACCAGTCCACCACTAGTACCACTACCACCAGTACCACCACTAGTACACTACCACCAGTACACCACTAGTACCACTTACCTACCAGTACCACCACTAGTACCACTACCACCAGTACCACCACTAGTACCACTACCACCAGTACCACCACAGTACCACTACCACCAGTACCACCACTAGTACCACTACCACCAGTACCACCAACTAGTACCACTACCACCAGTACCACCACTAGTACCACTACCACCAGTACCACCACTAGTACCACTACCACCATACCACCACTAGTAACCACTACCACCAGTACCAACCACTAGTACCACTACCACCAGTACCACCACTAGTACCTAACTACCACCAGTACCACCACTAGTACCACTACCACCATACCACCACTAGTACCACTCCACCAAGTACCACCACAGTACCACTACCACCAGTACCACCACTATACCACTACCACCAGTACCACCACTAGTACCACTACCACCAGTACCACCACTAGTACCACTACCACCATAACCACCACTAGTACCACTACCACCAGTACCACCACTAGTAACCACTACCACCAGTACCACCACTAGTACCACTACCACCAGTACCACCACTATACCACTACCACCAGTACCACCACTAGTACCACTACCACCACTAGTACCACTACACCAGTACCACCACTAGTACCACTACCACATACCACCACTAGTACCACTACCACCAGTACCACCACTAGTACCACTACCACCAGTACCACCACCTAGTACCACTACCACCACTAGTAACCACTACCACCAGTACCACCACTAGTACCACTACCACCAGTACCACCACTAGTACCACTACCACCAGTACCACCACTATACCACTACCACCAGTACCACCACTAGTACCACTACCACCAGTACCACCACTAGTACCACTACCACCAGTACCACCACTAGTACCACTACCACCATACCACCACTAGTACCACTACCACCAGTACCACCACTAGTACCACTACCACCAGTACCACCACTAGTACCACTACCACAGTACCACCACTAGTAACCACTACCACCAGTACCACCACTAGTACCACTACCACCAGTACCACCACTAGTACCACTACCACCAGTACCACCACTAGTACCACTACCACCAGTACCACCACTAGTACCACTACCACCAGTACCACCACTAGTACCACTACCACCAGTACCACCACTATACCACTACCACCACTAGTACACCACTACCACCAGTACCACCACTAGTACCACTACCACCAGTACCACCACTAGTACCACTACACCATACCACCAGTACACCTACCACATAGTACCACTACCACCAGTACCACCACTAGTACCACTACCACCACTAGTACCACTACCACCAGTACCACCACTAGTACCACTACCACCAGTACCACCACTAGTACCACTACCACCAGTACCACCACTAGTACCACTACCACCAGTACCACCACTAGTACCACTACCACCAGTACCACCACTAGTACCACTACCACCAGTACCACCACTAGTACCACTACCACCAGTACCACCACTAGTACCACTACCACCACTAGTACCACTACCACCAGTACCACCACTAGTACCACTACCACCAGTACCACCACTAGTACCACTACCACCAGTACCACCACTAGTACCACTACCACCAGTGCCACCACTAGTACCACTACCACCAGTACCGCCACTAGTACCACTACCACGAGTACCACCACTAGTACCACTACCACCAGTACCACCAGTACCACCACTAGTACCACTACCACCAGTACCACTAGTACCACTACCACCAGTACCACCGCTAGTACCACTACCACCAGTACCACCGCTAGTACCACTACCACCAGTATCACCACCACCATCACCATCACACACCACCGTCACCAACACCACCGTCAACCACCACCACCGTCACCACCACCACCACCACCGTCATCCACCGCCACACACCACCACCAACCGTCACCACCACCAACACATCCACCGTCACCACCACCACCACCGTCACCACCACCACCGTCACCACCACCACACACCACCATCACCACCACCACCACCGTCACCAACACCACACACCACCGTCACCACCACCACCGTCACCACCACCGTCACCACCACCGTCACCACCACCGTCACCACCACCGCCACCACCACCACAAACCACCATCACCACCACCACCGTCACCACCACCGTCACCACCACCACAACCATCACCACCACCAACCGTCACCACCACCGTCACCATCCACCACAAACCACCATCACCACCACCGTCACCACACCACAAACCACCACCACCACCACCACCACCAACCTCCACCACCGTCACCACCACCACAACACCACCACCAACAAACGATCACCACCACCGTCACCACCACCGTCACCACCACCGCCACCACCACCACAAACCACCATCACCACCACCGTCACCACCACCGTCACCACCACCGCCACCACCATCACCACCACCGTCACCACCACCACAAACCACCATCACCACCACCATCACCACCACCGTCACCACCACCACACACCACCACACCACCCACCATCCCCTGTACATAGTTCTCAGTAATTTACGTCATAGTTATTTAACAAACAACGTTAAGAAATATTCCCAACTACCCCAAGGAAAACGTGTCACACCTGCCAGATAATGTGGCTGATGTCGCTGAAGGGATCTTGATAGAAGGAATTGGAGTTATTTTCCTCTTCCTCGGACCAAACTTAAACCCCATTCCCCAGGCACTATGGTCTGGTCCCAGACCGGGTTGATCAAGACCTAACTTGAGGACCTCACCGTCTTCCCTGTCTGTTCATAGTAGTTCCCCCTCATGACCCCTTTATGTTTAGTGCTCCCCAGGTATATAATAGAAATGTGGAGGGTGTATATGGCAAGGAGGTGACGTCAGAGGTCACATGACCAGCAGGGAAGAGTTGGTATCATGGCGGGAGAGACTCAAACATCCACAGTTATGCTAGTATTACTTGACTACTCGTGGTGTTGAGGCTGAGAAGCAGGAGCCTCCATCACCTGGCTACCCTACACTTACCAGTCAAGCTACTCTATATGTACTCACAAGTGACTCAACCTGCACACACTCACAAGTGACTCAACCTGTACACACTCATGAGTAACTCAACCTGTACACACTCACGAGTAACTCAACCTGTACACACTCACGAGTAACTCAACCTGTACACACTCACGAGTAACTCAACCTGTACACACCCACGAGTAACTCAACCTGTACACACTCACGAGTAACTCAACCTGCACACACTCACGAGTAACTCAACCTGTACACACTCACGAGTAACTGTACACACTCACGAGTAACTCGACCTGTACACACTCACGAGTAACTCAACCTGTACACACTCACGAGTAACTCAACCTGTACACACTCACGAGTAACTGTACACACTCACGAGTAACTCGACCTGTACACACTCACGAGTAACTCGACCTGTACACACTCACGAGTAACTCAACCTGTACACACTCACGAGTAACTCAACCTGTACACACTCACAAGTGACTCAACCTGCACACACACACGAGTAACTCAACCTGTACACACTCACGAATAACTCAACCTGTACACACTCACGAGTAACTCAACCTGCACACACTCACGAGTAACTCGACCTGTACACACTCACGAGTAACTCGACCTGTACACACTCACGAGTAACTCAACCTGTACACACTCACGAATAACTCAACCTGTACACACTCACGAGTAACTCAACCTGTACACACTCACGAGTAACTCAACCTGTACACACTCACGAGTAACTGTACACACTCACGAGTAACTCAGACCCTGTACACACTCACGAGTAACTCAACCTGTACACACTCACGAGTAACTCAACCTGTACACACTCACGAGTAACTCAACCTGTACACACTCACGAGTAACTGTACACACTCACGAGTAACTCGACCTGTACACACTCACGAGTAACTCAACCTGTATACACTCACGAGTAACTCAACCTGTACACACTCACGAGTAACTCAACCTGTACACACTCACGAGTAACTCGACCTGTACACACTCACGAGTAACTCGACCTGTACACACTCACCAGTGATTGAAGCTGTACACGAGTGCATAAAGCTGTACACGCAAGTGAATGAAGCTGTACACACGAGTGACTCAAGCGGTGCACACTAACGAGTGATTGAAGCTATACATACCAACCAGTGATTGAAGCTATACATACCAACCAGTGACTGAAGCTATACATACCAACCAGTGACTGAAGCTATACATACCAACCAGTGACTGAAGCTATACATACCAGTGATTGAAGCTATACATACCAGTGATTGAAGCTATACATTCCAGTGATTGAAGCTATACATACTCACCAGTGACAAGCTATACTCACCAGTGACTGAAGCTATACATACCAGTGACTGAAGTTATACATACTCACCAGTGACAAGCTATACTCACCAGTGACTGAAGCTATACATACCAGTGACTGAAGCTATACATACTCACCAGTGACTGAAGCTATACATACTCACCAGTGACTGAAGCTATACATACCAGTGACTGAAGCTATACATACTCACCAGTGACTGAAGCTATACATACTCACCAGTGACTGAAGCTATACATACCAGTGACTAAAGTTATACATACTCACCAGTGACGAGCTATACATACTCACCAGTGACTGAAGTTATACATACTCACCAGTGACTGGACCTATACATACTCACCAGTGACTGGAGCTATACATACTCACCAGTGACTGAAGTTATACATACTCACCAGTGACTGGAGCTATACATACTCACCAGTGACTGGAGCTATACATACTCACCAGTGACTGAAGTTATACATACTCACCAGTGACTAAAGTTATACATACTCACCAGTGACTGGAGCTATACATACTCACCAGTGACTGAAGTTATACATACTCACCAGTGACTGGAGCTATACATACTCACCAGTGACTGAAGTTATACATACTCACCAGTGACTGAAGTTATACATACTCACCAGTGACTGGAGCTATACATACTCACCAGTGACTGAAGTTATACATACTCACCAGTGAGTAAAACTACACATTCTCAAGAGTACCTAGATATACTCCATACTCAATGTTTTAACTTGACCAAAGTGACCTGGTCTCTCAGCAGGTAAGCAACCCGATGGAAATAAGTTACATTATCTGACTTAACTGGTTTATCCTGGGTGATCCTATGTCTCATTTAGATTGTGCTTTTCCACTTTGATCTCTGTATTACAGGATGGATATAAATAAGCTGGGAAACACGGGCGAGGATTGCATAACTAATCCATTGTATCAGGAATCTTTTTTTCTTATGCAGATAGATTGAGGGCACTGATTCTGCGCTCTCTGGAAACACGTACAATGAAGGGGAGATATAAATGAAATGTACAAATGGACAACTGGAATAAATATAGTAAAGGAGATATAAATAGATTATTGAATATATGTGAATCAGATAGTACTCGCAACACTGGTTTCAAGTCGGTCAATTTTTTTTTTTTTTTTTTTACATTTTGAAAGGAAGTATTGGTTTGGCAGTAAAGTTGATGAATGGAACAAACTCCAAAGTAGCGTCATGTAAAGGGTGGATAGGTATGTGAGTTGGTGCGACTGTGTATAAACTGAACCTGCCTAACATGGGCCAGTAGGCTTCTGCTCCACTGTTCATAACTAGGCTTTGGTTCCTTGATACCTAACTAAACCCTTGCCACTGTTATTTTTAGACACTGGTCACAGTAGTTAGTATTTAAATAATGTCACCTGGTTTGTGATGTATTATTTATGCGTTACTTAATAATTACAAAGCCTAGAGAGTACTGCAGACTACTTGTATCACTATGAAATGTGTCTCCTAGTATTACTATTAGTAACACTGTTAGTGCTGTACCTGGCTATTAGTAAACTGTTCTGAATGGTGTCATGGTGGTTATTGGAGCTGTAATATAAAGTCAGCTTATACATACTGAGTTTACTTTAATCCCTACTTCAAGGATTCAAGTATTCTTGTCTGGTGGTAAAAAGGTCACATCTGGCCTTTATGACCCTAGTGCAGTGGTTCCCAAACTGGGGGTAAATTACCCCCTGGGGGTAATTTAACCATTTTTGGGGGGTAATGGAGGGGTGACAGAAAAAACGTTATGAATTCTGAAAATCAAGAAAACAATGCGGTACCCGGTATGAGGATTATTGTTAACTTTGTCTTAGTATATAAAGTTGTAAAGTAAACCTATTATAAGTAAGTAATAAAGTTAAACCAAATAACAATAAACATCAAAAACTAATATACAGTATTAGAAAAGAAGAAATATATAGCTAAGTGTGTGGAAACCCAAAAGTATTTTGACAAGTATGCTTCAGGACAAAAGTCACTCAGTAGCCCAGATCGACCTGTCCAGTACGCATCACTCACTTCCTGAGGCTGCCTCTATTTCACACTGTCAGTTTATCTGTGAGCATCAGCCGAGGTAGACATAAGCTGGTATGTATGTGTACTGCCCTGTGCAGTATATAGTTAGTATTTACCCACTGTTACTGTGAATTTGTAGCTATTATTAATTTTATATATAATGTATGTGTGGTTCTTACGTTTTCAATGGTTTTGCTAGGATTAGCAGAGTATGCGAGGCTGTATACGTTCACGTTTAGCCATATATATCAATAATAACAACATTTTGTGAAAGGGGTAACATGCTTTATGTGGCATGTTAAATTGGGTAACAAGCTGAAAAAGTTTGGGAACCACTGCCCTAGTGTAATCAATAAGCCTTAAACCCCATTAACCAACCAGCCGGCCAACTTAGAACCCCTCAACTTTACACATTACCAGAGACATCGACACTATGCCCAGCCCTTCTAGGGTAGGGTAGGTGCCTGAGCCCGAGCCTTTAGCTCATAAGACTGTCATTCCCATTAGCCCCCTTGGGGCTGGGATGGTAGACCAGAGAGGCCTAGCTTGTGGCTAGGCCTGGGGACAGTTGGTCCCAAAGATGAGGAGGTACTTGTGCCTCCTCCCATGGGAGACTTAGGTCTCAGATACTCCCTAAAGAGGGAGCCAAGGCCGGGCCACCACTTGGAAAAGGCCCGGGCCGGGAGAATACCGGCTAATCTTTAATAATATAATAATTACCAGAGACGATAGTCTGCTTAGCAGACAGAATAGAGCCTCCGCGGGTTTAACGCTTTATAAATCAATGTTAACATATAAGGAACCTTGACGACCGTCTACTAGACTAGTCCCTGAGATCTGAGCTTCAAGAACAGACTAAAATTAATAATATATCTGTCAGCGGTAGTAGAAACATTCAGAAGGATAGTGTTTCAGCTTACAAATCAAATTTATTTTATTATAGGCATGCAGTGGTGCTAAGTATGTAGTGACCCAGTGTTAGTGGTGCTAGTTTAGCGCTTTCAATAATAATAATAATAATAGTAATAATAATACCCAAATCTCCCCCTCTCTCTCTCTCCTCTCTCTCTCTCTCTCCCTCTCTCTTCTCTCTCTCTCTCTCTCCTCTCTCTCTCTCTCTCACTCTCTCTCTCTCTCTCTCTCTCTCTCCTCTCTCTCTCTCTCTCTCTCTCTCTCTCTCTCTCTCTCTCTCCTCTCTCTCTCTCTCTCCTCTCTCTTCTCTCTCTCTCTTCTCTCTCTCTCTCTCCTCTTCTCTCTCTCTCTCTCTCTCTTCCTCTCTCCTCTCTTCTCTCTCCTCTCTCTCTCTCTCCTCATCTCTCTCCATCCTCTTCTCTCTCTCAACTCTACACCTGCTGCAAGATCCTCTCTCCTGCCTCTCATCTCCCTAATCACACTCTACTCCACTCCTGATTATCTACTATCTACTATCTTGCAGAGCCACATGTGGCAAAGATGCCTCTGCCCTGACTGAACCAACTTAAAACACGCAAACAACAAGCTTGATTAACCAGGAAGGCATTCTGGACAAAAAAAATACCCACGTATATAACACACACACACACACACATACACTTGAGTTATTACGTTGAATAATGTTGCAACGTGCAATAGTTGGCAGCCATAAGGTTTCTGCCGTCCACCAACCCGGACGGACCTTCTTTAAATTAGCACAGCCCATAAACTGGCAGTTTTTTATTACCCTGAGACCGTGTGCTCTGAAATGTTTATAATTGAGTTATAAGTACATACATCACCTGGCCCAGCAGCTATATGCAACATTAAAACAACAACTTTCTTTAAGTTCTATATTTCAGTAATGAGTAACTACATTCAGCTCTTCGTATACAATTATAAAATATATTTAAATATCACTCAATATCACTATATATTAATACACAATATACTGGATGCACTGATCACATATCTTGTGTAAGTAAGTAAGTTTATTCAGGTATACACGAATACAGTTACATAGAATTATCATACATAGCAGCATATGTGTAGAGAACCTAGGATAACCCAAAAAAGTCAGACAGTGACTCATTTCCATTGGGGTCCTTTACTTATTTCCATTGGGGTCCTTTACTTATTTCCATTGGGGTCCTTTACTTATTTCCATTGGGGTCCGCTGTATAGCCCTTGTGGCTTAGCGCTTCTTTTTGATAATAATAATAATAATAATAATCCATTGGGGTCCTTTGACTCTGACTATGACATCCTCAACAGTCAGCCTTCATGTCCGAATAACAAGGAAAGAATGGTAAAAACAACGAGGTTTACTGTCATAATGTTAGGATATAACCAATTGTGTGGGAAAACTGAAGCTGAATTACTGCGCCAATATTTGACCTTCTTATTTATCACATGAACTTATCTAATAGACTGTATAGATGA